ATGTTGACTCCTTTTTTTGGGGGGGCAGCATAAGGAAAAACCTGCAAGAATTAGATTGTTACCTCCCCAACAATTACATGAAAATCTTTCGTTATTTTGCTGCTTGTTTTAGTTTTAAAATTAATCTCTAATGTTTCTCTATCTCGTTCGTCTGATTTGACCGTAGGTTAAGATACACAGGATGCTTTTGCAATCAAGGTTACGGACCAGAAAGAAAGAAGAGGCAGATCTTTTCTTTGTGCCTGCTTATCCTAAATGTGTTAGAGTGATGGGCGGCCTGAATGACAAAGAGATTAATCAGACTTATGTGAAGGTACTAAAGAATCAGGGTCCTTAACATTACATTTATTCTGTCAAATAGCTTTCGAAGTTTTATTTATTGCTATAGTTCAATGATTAAGATTTTTTTCTTTGATTTATCTCTTTAACTGCAATGTCACATTATCCATTTCCTTTCATTTAGGTTTTCCTTTGTGTACGCTCTTCTTTCTTGACACTTTTCCTTGCAGGTGTTAGGTCAAATGCCATATTTCAGGTTATCTGGTGGCCGCAACCACATTTTTGTCTTCCCAAGGTATTATTAGTCATAGCGAGATATTTAAACATTATTTACCCTATAAAAAATGAAGATCTTTAAACACATAGATAAAGGGAATGCATCGGAATCCAATTATACGATACTTGCTTCACAGAAAATAGACGACCCAGCGGTAGTCGTATTTCATTTGTTAAACTGGTATATATGAATAAACAGGCATAGCTGAGTTCTGCATAAGCTTGGATGTAGATATGAAGCCACAACTTCAAAGTTGCATTTTGCAATCTAATAAAAATATGGTCTAATGATAGTTGTATTTCATTTGTCAAAACTGCAATGTGAATAAGGCAGGAACCCAGCCAAGCTACTGCATGAACTGGGATGTAGATATGAAGCCACAACTTCAACGTTGCGGTCATTTAAAATATTAATCACGACTGTTACTTGTGCTAAAATGCTGATGCAAGTAGGCATGTAGTTAAATTTTCTTAGTTGCATTTTAATTGAAAGAATAACAGTTTTAGACGGTTCATTAATCTTCGTTATGACTTGTTTCTTATGCATGTTACTTTTGCTGAACTGCAGTGGGGCTGGAGCACATTTATTTAAATCATGGGCGACATACTTGAATCGGTCTATAATTCTTACCCCTGAGGTAAGGTCTTCGAAAATTTCAGTCTACAATCCTTACCCCACATAAACCGTAGAAAATGTTTCAAGGGTTGCTGCGCTGTCTTTCACTATGCATTTATCTATTTTTGTTTCTGTCTGTCTCATGGAACCGCAACTTGCTCACCCTAACTGTATTGTTTCCTCGGTCAGTTTATTGTGACAATTTCTCCTTTGACGATGGATTATTTTTCCCTTAAACAATTCAATGTATCATGCGTAGAGCCCGTCTATAAAAAAGAAAATATAACCTCTGTCCAGGGACATGAGTCAATTAGCAAGTTCCTTTTAATTGTAATTTAAGTTTGCTAATGTTATTCTTCATGTTTGTTGTCTCAACATGCTTGTACCTAGTCATGCCTGTTATCTTCAATAAGTTAATTCACATATCATTGCATCTAATGCAGGGGGATCGCACGGATAAAAGAGACACTAGTGCCTTTAATACATGGAAAGATATTATAATCCCTGGAAATATTGATGATGGGATGACTACTCATGGCTCTAGGCTAGTTGAGCCTTTGCCTTTGTCGAAGAGGAAACATTTAGCTAACTATTTAGGTCGAGCACAAGGAAAGGTGGGTCGCCTTCAGCTGATAGAGCTCGCGAAGCAATTCCCGGAGAAGGTATGCTTTCTCCTTGTCTCCATTGATTTTGCGCATGTAGCTTCATAGCTTGGTCTAGAATAATGACTCACTGGCAAAAAGGGTTTGTTCTATTGGTTAAGAATATCCAAATATTTTTGAGAGTGTATGATACAGTAGTCCATGTGTGGACTATCGATTTTCAAGACACACCTAAATTTGATAATTCAGTTCATACCTATGGTTGTTTTTCTTCGGAAGCAGTTTTTTCATGATTGTTTTAACTAAAAGTCTAGTACACAAAAACTCACCATTTTACTCCCCTTGTAATGTCCTGTTTAAGTTCCTCTAATCTCTAACATCTCTCTTAATTGGTCCCAGCTCACAAACATCTTACCAGTGTATCTTCGGTCAATATGGTAGTAGCATTAATTCTATGGTGAATGTCTGATGTCTCAAAAGTCATTTTCTCCAATTGAAAATTTCCCCTACCTCTCAAAAGATATAACAGCTCACAGAAATCCTGAACAACCCTCTTAAATTTCTCAAATACGTGTCAAATTTATCTTCCTCTCCTACTGCATTGCTGCCGATGGTAGGCTAGTGAAATCGACATTTGACCTCATATGATTACACATAGTAGCTAAGCTGTCAAACATTATTCTGTCGGTTCTTCTCCAGGTACAGGGATTTTTCAGTTTATCTGCATGCGTGAGAATCCATAGTTCTCCAATATGACTAATTATGCTTGATTCCAGTTCAACCGTCAGATCTTTGTAAAACATGACTAATTATGTTTGCTTCCAGTTGAGTCCCATATAATTGTCTTGTTTGTCCAAAAGATGGTCTTTTTGATTCTATCAACAGTTGGAATGTCCAGAATTGAAATTCAGTGGTCCCGACAAGCTAGGAAGGAGGGAATATTTTGAACATCTCCGCATTGCCAAGTTCTGCCTGGCTCCACGTGGTGAATCATCATGGACGCTTCGCTTTTATGAATCCTTCTTTGTGGTTAGTCTCTCATATCTTGTGTGAATGACTAAAACTCGTCAAACTGCATTTCCTGAGCTGTTTTATGCTACGTTTTCAATTAAACAGGAATGTGTTCCAGTAATCCTATCAGATCAAGCAGAATTACCATTTCAGAATGTGATTGACTACACCCAGATATCAATCAAATGGCCATCCACTCATATAGGAACTGAACTTCTGGACTACCTAGAGTCAATACCTGGTCAGCACACTGCTTTTCTTGTTCTGGCATCTTGCATTCAAGTTAGTAGCCAATAGGATCATGACATAACTTTCTTTCATTCTCAGATAAAGACGTAGAAGAGATGATAGCTAGGGGTCGGAAGATCAGATGCTTATTCGCTTATACTCCCGAGTCTGACTCCTGCTCTGCGTTTAATGCAATTATGTGGGAACTACAGAGAAAAGTAAGGCAATTCCATCAGTCATCAGAAACTTTCTGGCTCCATAATAGAACTATAGTCAACAGAGATTTGGTGGAATTCAGCAAGTGGAAACCACCTATGCCTCTGCCTTGAATATGCTTTACACGACTTGTAGATCAATTGTGCGTTTGTTATAGTTGCATTGTAATTTTTTCCAGAGTTATAAATGACCACAGTCCATTTTTTTCTCTCTCCAGAGCTATAGAGAAAATCTCACTAATTATTTACATTTTCTTTCTTCGTGTTTTGTCCTTGAAAAAGTTGTAACGTTTATTAGGTTGTCACAGGAATTGTGATTCCTTAGGCTATTTTGAAGTTAGGATGCACCACTTAGTGGTTTTCGTTTGTGTTCTCGGAATATAATTATTGACCAGCCTTTTCATATGGACTTTTTGATTCTTGTTATTTAAAGTAAAGAGAGAAGAAAAGATCTGTGGTTTGTCTCCCTCTTTTTCTCGGACCAGTATGATGGCAGAGATTGAAGCAAAACAGCTTTCTTTCTTGGCAAGATAAGAAATATGTTATCCCTAAATCAGTTTCAATCTACTAAATGCATAACATTATACTCGTATCACATAGAAGGGCAGCCCGGTACACTAAGCTCCCGCTATGCGCGGGATCCAGGGAAGGGCCGGACCACAAGGGTTTATCGAGTAGCTTTACCCTACATTTCTGCAAGAGACTGTTTTCATGGCTCGAACCCGTGACTTCCTGGTCACGCGCATCCGGGAAGGGCCGGACCACAAGGGTCTATTGTAAGTAGCTTTACCCTGCATTTTTGCAAGAGGCTGTTTCTACGGCTCGAACCCATGACCTCTTGGTCACGCGCATTCCGGGAAGGGCCGGGCCACTAGGGTCTATCGTAAGTAGCTTTACCCTGCATTTCTGCAAGAGGCTGTTTCTACGGCTCGAACCCGTGACCTCCTAAACAGCCTCTTCACATAAATTGATATATAGTAACTTAGTTTATCACTTAACTATAGTAACTTATTGTAATTTGGTCCAAATATCGAGTGTGGGGTAAATTATTAATTTTACAAGTGTTTTTTCTTTTTCAATTCCTTGCAAAAAAATTCACCAAATTGAGCCAAAATTTTGTTGAACTTGCAAAAGTAGACGCGATCTGGGAAGCTCTTGTTCATTTACATGAATTGCTTAAGGGAATAACCACACAATATAGTCTTTATTTTTATTTAATTTGGTGAGCATCAAGTGACAAGTGGTAACATGTAAAACCAGAACTTTCAAAAACTTTTATTTGATAGAAGCAAAAACCAATCTTCAAATCAGTGACACCACAACCACAAAAATCTCAAAGACATTTTAGGGCCTGTGGACCTCAGCTTTTGCTAGGTGTCAAGTGTCAACCCAATCAGAAAGCTCTTTTTAACTTGAGCAGGGAAGAACTGATACCAGAAGTTTTAGAGAACAATCCAACAGCAGATTCAGAAAGGCTTAATCTGCAAACTTCTTTTTGAAATTTCCCGTATTGAATTTCCTCAAGATTGCATAGAGAACCTTTGAGAAACCTCATTTCTCTCCTACTTTCTTGGTTGAGAGGAAATGGGAACATTTGTATACAGCAGCAGTTGCCTTTCTTGGAAAAACAATCTGAGCAGACAGGTGATTTCATCTCACCTAGTAGTTCCTCATGGTGTCACAGAAAAAGGGTGTTCAAGAATTAAGGCTGCTGCTTGTTCCAAAGAAGATGTGCATGTGAGTCAGGATTGTGAAAAATCTGGAGGCTCATTGAATAGGAGGTCAACTATTGTATCTGGAGTCTCTTTGATTTCATCAGTCCTGCTTGGTTTTCCTGGAGAGGGATCTGCTGTGGTGAAACAAGGCCTCCTAGCAGGGAGAGTTCCTGGACTTTCTGAACCAGATGAAGAAGGTTAGTTTCATAATCCCACACTTCATAAGCTGCAGTAAGCTTATTGGCATATTCATGAGTGATGTTGGAAAACTTGGACAACTAGTAGACTCTTACCAAATCAAATAGAATTATTCACAACCTCAAATAGCAACAAAAGATTGTGTGTAGGCTGGAAAATTGCATAGACAGAGACTACATTCAGATAATGAAAGAACACAGAGCGTGTATATAACTGAAATTCTTCACGTCTTTTTCGTCTGTGCTTTTTCTTTTTCCAAGTAAATGTTCATCTTAACAAGGGCAAAATTGCTCAGGCAGGTTGGAGGACATACCGAAGACCGGATGACAAGTCAGGTGGACATGGTGTTGGATGGAGTCCTATCATTCCTTATGCTTTTTCAGTGCCTGATAATTGGGAAGAGGTAAGAATCCAGTTATTCACAACTGTATGTATTTTAATATTCAACAATGTCAGAGAAATTACCTTTCAGCTTGATGTCAATTTGCTTTGCACAATTGGACATACCTTAGTCAGGTTCACTTTTGAAGTTTTCACCTATTGAACAGGTCCCTGTGTCAATTGCTGATCTAGGTGGTACAGAGATTGATTTGAGGTTTGCGAACCCCAAAGAAGGGCGTATCTCTGTAGTTGTGGCTCCTGTTAAAAGATTTTCAGATGGTGAGCATCTCATGTTTTTTCTTCCTTCTATTCTAGTACTGAAGCTAAGAGAACTAAAAGAGATTAGGTGGACATAGGGATGAACGTGTAAAAAACACACTGGCAAATAAATATATCAACTCAACTTGTATCTGACGGATTCAATCTTGGTGGTATTCTAACTCCAAATATGACCCAGAAATTGGTGAAGAAGCCACCATAGAACAAATTGGACCTCCAGATAAAGTGATCAGCGCTTTTGGGCCTGAAGTCATTGGAGAGAGTGTGGAAGGTAAAGTCTTAAGAGCTGAAGTAGCAGAGCATTCAGGAAGAAAATATTACCAGTTCGAATTAGAGCCACCACACGTAATGATCACAGCAACAGCCGCCGGAAATCGCCTATACTTGTTCAATGTCACTGGAAATGGTAAAGATTCAAATCCGCGTTTTCTATCTTCGGAATATCTGCTATATAGTAGTTAAATCCTACAACTCTCTGTGATTTCACAGGTCTTCAATGGAAAAAGTATTACAAAGATTTGAGAAAGATTGCTGAGTCTTTTAGGGTTGTCTGATTGGCACATCGACTCCATGTGTGATAGTACCTTAGCAAAAGTGGAATACACAAGGAAGAAGAGTTGGTGGCTACAATCATAAATATTTAGAAGCAGCCACTTTACCTCTAGCATTATATACAGTTCAATATATTAGAGGAGCATCTCCTCGAGATTGAGTTTTGTAACAATTTTTTGCTAGCAATGGTTATAGTTAACATCTACTGATGTTGCAAGTTTCAGAAGGCACCTCTTTTGGATTAATATCTACATTAGGCATTGATAGCTCTGTTTGATTATTCCTGCAATCACCTCAGCATCGTCTAATGGCTAGAGTTAGTATCATGTTTTAGAAGTTAATTATTCTGGCAATACTTACATAAAATTAGTCTCCGGTCCATCAAGCATGACCACACTACACCCAGGTGTCTTTTGAGACCCTTTATTTGACAAGGCAAACCTCATCCTTTCAGCCTTCTCCCATCTTTCAGAGGCAGCATATATATTAGAAAGAATCACATAATGTGCATCAACACTGGAATTGCAACTGGAGCTCAATTTTTTAACCTCTTTCAGAATGTTTTCTACCACATCTGTGTCTGAGTGAACCCGGCATGCTCCAAGCAGAGCCCCTAAAACTGTGTCATTTGGTGTGACAGGCATGCCTTTTATCAATTCACAAGCCTCCTTTAATCTTCCGGCCCTTCCCAAAAGGTCAACAAGACAACCATAATGCTTGATGCTTGCCTTCAACCCATATTTCTCCATCCCGGAGAAAATCTCTAAACCTTCCTCCACGAATCCACCATGGGCACAAGCCGATAGCACTGAAAGAAATGTTATATCATTAGGTTTCACTCCTGAGCTCTCCATTCTCTCGAAGAAATTAATTGCCTCCACACAGTGGCCATGAGAGGCATAACCAGATATCAGCGAGTTCCAAGCTGCATCACTTTTAACTAACATTCCTTCAAAAATTAATCTGGCATTACTTAAATCCCCACATTTTGCATACATATCAACCAACCCATTAAGAACAAATTGATTCAATTCAATCCCTTTCCGAATTATCATTTCATGTATTTCCTTGCCAACATCCAGCAAAGCCAGCTGTGCACTAGCCGATAAAACACTAACTACAGTAACCTCATCCGGTTCAAACCCCTCATCTTGCATTTTAGTAAACGCTTCTAAGGCTTCTTCACAGTATCCATTCTGTGTATAACCACATATCAATGAATTCCAATTCACCAAGTTCTTCATAGTCATCCTATCAAATATGGCCTTGGCACTCTTAACATCACCATTCTTAAAATACCCAGAAACCATCGACGACCAGACATAGAAATTTCTTCTTGGCATTACCTCAAACAGTTCCCTTGCAGCATCCATATCTCCATTACTAGCATACCCATCAACCATCACACTCCATGTGACTACATTCCTCAACTCATCCGGCACCCGGTTAAAAAAACTCCTAGCCATCACGATATCTCCATTTCTAGCATACCCGTCAATCATTTCATTCCAAGTCACAATTGTCTTCTCAGACATATTCTCAAACAACAAAATTGCAGTCTTTGTACCACCACCTTTCATATATCCTGATATCATAGCATTCCATGTTATCACATTTCTTTCAGGCATATAATCAAACACCTTCCGGGCACTCCAAATTTCTCCACATTTCCCATACATACCCAACAATGCAGTCCCCACCATAACATTACAATCAAATCCTGATTTCACAGATTCAGCATGTAAAGCTTTGCCGAGGCTAAGCATTGAAAGTGCAGCACATGCCTTTAGCACCAAAGGAACAGCACCCACTATTGAACTTCCAGTAACACGATTACGGTTGTATATTAAAAGGGCTTCTTTGAATTTTCCTTGATATACGCAGTTCTTTATGTTATAAGCCCAATTTGTTAATGGGTTTGTGATATTATTCAGCGAGGACAATCCAGAACTTTGAATTTGGCAATTCTTATGGCTGTTTTTCATTTTACAGTGAGGATCATTTCTGAGTTCCTTGTGGCCAAGGATAAAGTTTATTGCTTTAATCGTTCTTTCAAATGTCAATTAGCTGACTCAAAAGTTTCTGATGGCTCTTTTGGATTTTAGTCCTTCTATTTTCTGATGATTATATTTCTGGTCCTGTGTATTTCAAGTTATATGAAGTAACTAATTTAGAGTTAAAACTTAATGGATTAACTGGTTTTGTAAACTAGATTAGCAAAACAAATTGATTTGAATACAAGGAATTTTGATATTTAAGTCATAGTGTCAAATATATTCTTTTCTTTCTGAAATTTCAACAAAGAGTAATAATTGTGCGGAGTCAAGTAACCTCTGTTCATTTATGTTGACTTCACTGATGAAAAGCCTAAAATTACTCGGCTCATATTTCATGTAAGTTAAAATTTAAAACTATCATTTAAAATTAAGCAAAATACGTGGTCCAAAAATACTGATTAAAGAAACGAGGTCCTAAAAATGCAATTTCCTTTTTTACTTTCCAACCCCCTGCCCCTTTTGTTGCCACTCTATTAACTGTATTACCCGTATTGAACCTTTTCCGTTTTCAAGACCCACACAAAAAAATGGAGCAAACATTGCTCCAATTTTTACAGAAATGCAAAACTAGCAAACAATTGAAAGAGACTCATCTTCAGATTATTGTAAATAGCCTCATGAATAGCAACTTTATAGTGCCAAAGCTTATGTCTTTATCCTCAAACCTTATTTCACTTGATTATACACTCGACTTTTTTAGAACATTACAAAATCCAAGCCTTATTGTATACAACACGTTGATTAAATGCTTCATAGGAAAGACACTGAAATATGCATTATATACTTATAGTAACATGAGGATATCAAATATTGCACCTAATAGTTTTACATTTACTTTTCTCTTGAGGTGTTTTGAGTCTTTTGACTCTTTAGAAGCTGGCCAAGTAGTGCATGGTCACATTGTGAAGTTGGGTTTTGAGTCTAGTGTGTTTGCTAAGAATACCCTTATGGATTTTTATGCTAAATGTGGTGGGAATTTAGACTCAGCTCGGAAGGTGTTTGATGAAATGCCTGATCGGGATGTTGTTTCGTGGAACACGATGATTGGTGGTTATATGATTCATGGTGATCAAGAACGTGCCCTTTGTTTATTCGAGGCTATGCCCGAGAGGAATGTTGTTACGTGGAATTCGGTTATTGCTGGGCTATTGAAAGCAGGGAACATGGAGTTGGCTCGTTCTGTTTTTAAGCGTATGCCGGAGAAAAATGATGTTTCCTGGAACACAATGATTTCTGGATGTGTAAAGTTAAGTGACATAGAAGCTGCTATAGCTGTTTTTGATAAGATGCCGGAGAAAAGTGTAATTTCTTGGACTGCAATGGTGTCAGGATATGCTACAATTGGTGATCTTCAATCAGCAAGAAAGATGTTTGACCGAATACCAGCAAAAAATGTGGTTTCATGGAATGCCTTGATTGCTGGATATGTAAATTACCATATGTTTGATGAAGCTCTTTCAGTGTTTCAGCATATGTTGATCGATGGGAATTGCAAACCCAATCAGACCACTTTGATTAGTATACTCTCAGCTTGTTCACATTTGGGATCTCATGAGCATGGAAAATGGATCGATTCTTTTATAAGAAAGAACAAATTTGACTTATCAGTCCCACTAGGAAATGCTTTAATTGATACATTTGCAAAATGTGGAGATATGGAAAATGCAAAAGCAGTTTTCTTAAGGATGGCTCAGAGATGCATAATTACTTGGACTACAATGATATCAGGATTAGCAGTGAATGGGCACTGCAGAGACGCCCTAGAACTATACGAAAAGATGTGCTTGGAGGGAGTAGAGCCGGATGATGTTGTATTTATTGCTGTTCTGTCAGCTTGCACTCACGGTGGGCTGCTGGAAGAAGGGAAAAGGGTATTTGACCAGATGGTGACGAAGTTTGGCATTAAACCGCGGATTGATCATTATGGATGCATGGTTGATCTTCTTGGCCGAGCTGGAAAGTTTGAAGAAGCACTGAGTTTCATTAAGAGCATGCATTTGGAACCTAACGCAGTCATTTGGGCCACTTTACTTTCTGCTTGTAAAATTCATGGAAATGGGGAGTTGTTAGATTCCTTAACCCGGAGGATCCTGGAGCAAGAGCCTGACAACCCGAGTTATTTGACATTGATAATGAACTTAAGCTCTTCTATTGGGCGGTGGCAGGATGCCTTGAACTTCCGTAGAGCTACTAGAGACAAGGGAATAGAAAAAATTCCTGGTTGTAGCTCAATCCAAATAGGAAATAGTGTCCATGAGTTCTTAGCTAAAGATACAAAGCACTCACAAAGGAAGGAAATCTATAGAGTTTTAGGGTGTTTAAATGGACACTTAAAATTATGTGAGGTCGAATGAAATATGATGGCCATGGTTTCTTAGAGATTCTAGCGATAGCAAGATTTTTCTATAATATCTATTTCTTGACAGCTACTTGAATATGCATGGTTCTGAAGCCTGTATAGAAATGAGTTAAGTGAGAGCTTAAAGATTATAGTTCGTGACCAAGTTGAGTTTTTGATTTTCTTCATGGGTTTAGCCAAGTGGCACCAAGCTTGACCAGATTATGTTTTATGGAGAGTTTTGAACCAGGCACCTATTGATATAACCCAGTCCATTCCTGTTGGATCTGTGATTAAAAATAACTATGCGGAGTTTTACAGTCATGAGAGGGTCCTCAGAAGCTGAAAATTTCGTCAAAAAGCCGAATCTGCTGAAGAAATGTGGATGGGAGCATTCGGTGCAAAGCTCTCGTTGGCTAATAACATTAGTTTTACAGTCATGAGAGGGTCCTCAGAAGCTGAAAATTTCGTCAAAAAGCCGAATCTTCTGAAGAAATGTGGATGGGAGCATTCGGTGCAAAGCTCTCGTTGGCTAATAACATTATGGTACACTACTGTTTTCTCACTATCTTGTCTTCAGTTTTGCCCTCACTATCTTCTCATTGGATGTTCGTTACATGGATCACACCTTCTTTGTCTGTTGTTCTTTCCCGTCTAAATTTTTAATATCAATTAAGTTTTTATGAAAGTCATTGTCATAGATCATAATCTTGTCAAATATTACAACTAGCTGATGCCGTTGCACCTTATTGTTCCAAGTTTTAACAGTGATCTACTTATTCTATAAGGTAAATATTATCATATTTGAAATATATTAAAAAAACTTAAAAAGAATTAAAATGCAGTATTTAGACTGAGCAGAAAGGTTTAATTTCGGATTTCTTCTATACCATGCAACTCTCGACATTAAATCATGCTAGTTAGACAAAATACCGATTAATTCAGTTCCCTCAAGTGCTCAATTCATCAAGCCTTGAATTGTCATTCTTCCTTTAGCTCAAATACTTCTTGAACCAAGCAAAACTAGGTCAAACAGGACAACATAGCACTTAAACTAACGCTAACCAGACCTTACTCATGTTTATAGTATTTAAACTCTAAGTTAGCCATACTGGGAATATCCCCAGATAAGGCTTAGATGTTTATTCTTACAATTCTTCAAAGATTTCATCATCAAAACCAAAATTCACCTCAACATTGTAGAAATCTTTAATATCCTTCTGCTTGTGCACTCCACAATACTGAATTGCGGTACCTAGAGGGCGTTTGAAGCCCTAACCTTCATTTACTGCCTTAGCAGTAGGGGGCTGCTCTAGTATTAAGTTTGCTAGTTTTTGTCTCAACCATGTTCTAAATACTATCTGAGACTTGTTCGGGTGAGGCACAATACAAGTTGGGGCAACTAATGAGCAATCTACACAAGACATCTCGAAATAAGTAGTCACTTGCATTTCCTAAGAGCATGGTGTTAGTACCTGAATGTGACAACAAGGTACGATAGACAAATCCTATGCACGGATGTCACTTGGTAACAAGTGGTCTTATCAACGTTAATTGACATCCTATGCAATTACTTTGAGATCTTCATATTAATTACCCTTTTTCTTCTTATTTCTTTTATTTATGTTGTTTCGGCTATCTTTCAAGATCCTCTGTAATTTGAGTGTGAGCTAGTACCGGGATTAATGTGTCAGTGTCTTTACAGATGACACATTAGTCTGTGTAACATGATTCAGTCCTTTTCTATATATGCTATGTCTTAAAAGTTGATTTAAACAGGAAATCAAAATGAAAATTGATAAATTTATTTAAATTCATGAAAGAATTGTGTTTAAAGATATCAAAAACTTAGAAACAAAAACAAATATTTAATATGAGATTAAAAAATTAAGTTATTTGAACTTGTGCTGTTATGTGGATCCAAAAACCCAATTTGTTTAACAATGATTGGGAGACATCAGTGGCCATGGTGGAGGTGAACTTTTGACCTATATTCGTAAGCCATGATAGAATTTATTACTCGCATTTGTCTTTTCAAGAAGCACTAATGCTTTTGAAATGATTTAGAGTATTTGATTAAAGATGATTTGTTTGTAGTCCTGGAGAAGATTAATCACTTAGTATTTCTTCTACTTTCCTCATCTTTTTTTCTTTGTTCCCTCCTTATTGTGATCCAATCCTAATGGTGCCAGCAACTTAGTTCATCTTATTCATTCGTTTCATTCACCTTCACTTGCCTGTTTGTTCTTATTCGAACTAATTAGAGATTGCAACATTTTTCCTCCTGGAAATATTCCTGAATCAAATTAACAAGTAGTCCTAATATAACTTTTTTCTCCTTCCACAAAGGTACTCTAGGCCCTACAAATTAATTAAACATTAAACCAAAAAGAAAGGACTCCACGTAAAAGAGAGAAGAGTGGTGCATGGAATACAGAGTGGAATCTTTTTCTTTTTTTACTGAAGAAAACAAAAATTATTGGTTCCATTAGTGGGTATCTTTTTGTTCTTAGAATATCTTAATGCGGATGCTTTTTGGTCTTTAGGACGAAGTTCTATTAGAATAGTTTTCAGTACTTCTGATTTTGCTCAACTTTAAGCGGAAGATAAGGTTGAGTGAAATAAATATCAACCGCCAATAATTCTCCTTTCTTTAGTTCTTATATGCTCTCTGAATCCAGAGATGTTGAAGAGGCAAAAGAGAGGTGATGCTTTGAGCGATTAATTAAAGGTCAATCTCTTTTTTCCCCTAAATAGAAAAAGTTAGTGATTATACATTTACAGTTAAAAGAAGAAGCAAGATTCGCACTCACATGCATATAAGAACCTTGTTTTATCAATCTCGGCATACGAGAACCTTCTATAACGAAATACCCATATCTGGAAAAGTAGTTTTCCTTTTTGAAAAATAGTTATAAGATAGACTAAAGTTAATTATCTCATTGTTTTATGGATTTTTTCCTTCAAGATACACTATCTATAAACTTGTAGAAAAATGACTATTTCTGTTATATGATAAATACCTAGATGATTATTATTGTACCGCTCCACCTATACTTGAAGGGGTATCTCATTCAAAAGCCAAAGTAATAGGCATGTGCCTAAGGAAAATTTCTTTGGTTTGCTAGCCAATTTTGTTAAATTTCTTTAGTTTGGTAGCCAACTTTGTTGAATTTCTTTGGTTAGGTAGCCAACTTTGTTGAATTGTCAACATTGAAGAAAAAGAAGGAAAAATGTGTGCAAATTGTCAAATATAGTAGGCTTTAGAGAGTGAGGTTTCGGCTATAAAAGGAGAGCTTCAGCTCTCATTTCTACACACTAACAAAGAGAGAAAGAAAGAGTGAGGTTTCACAGACAAGGTATAAGAAAATAATCTGTGAAAAAAATAGAGAGTGATCGATATTGTAGTGAGGTGGGAATATCAAAAGAGGGTTATTTCTTTTGAGTGTTGTAGTGGTTTTTGGAGTATTTTACTCGGACCTACAAAGTGTAAAATTCCTTGCTATAGTGATATCAGTTGCTTGTCTCGGGGCCGTGATTTTTTCCTTATTCAAAAGGATTTTTCACGTAAAAATCTTGGTGTCGTTGTGACTCTTTTATTCTTGTTAATTACCGTATCTCGGTGCTACGTTATTATTCCGCTTTTATTACTGTGAATATTATTTCTGTAGGGGGTTTATTCCCAACAACTGGTATCAGAGCACAAGTTCTGCTCGTTCATAGAAATACTATTCACTGTCGGTAGTACTATACTCGGTGAAAAACAAAAATGTCTGGAGTAAAGTACGAGGTAGCAAAATTTAACGGAGATAGCGATTTCTCAACATGGCAAAGAAGGATGAGGGATCTGCTCATCGAACAAGGATTACACAAGGTACTAGATGCTGATGCCAAAAAGCCTGATACCATTAAAGCTGAGGATTGGGCTGACTTGGATGAAAGGGCTGCTAGTGCAATCAGGTTGCACTTATCAGATGATGTGGTAAATAACATCATTGATGAAGACACTACATGTGGCATTTGGACAAGTTTGGAAAGCCTATACATGTCCAAAATGCTAACAAATAAATTGTACCCGAACAAGCAGCTATACGCCCTACACATGGGTGAAGGTACGAATTTTTTGTCACATTTAAATGTGTTTAACGGACTAATCACACAGCTCGCCAACCTCGGAGTGAAAATCGAGGAAGAAGATAAAGCCATCTTGCTATTAAACTTGTTGCCATCTTCGTATGATAATTTGGCAACAACCATCCTGCACGGTAAGACTACCATTGAGTTGAAAGATGTCACATCGGCTCTTCTACTCAATGAGAAGATGAGAAAGAAGCCTGAAAATCAAGGACATGCTCTCATCACAGAAGGTAGAGGCAGGAGTTATCAAAGGA